GACCTGTGTTGTTAGTTAGTACAAAATGTCTAGAACCAGCAATCGCAATTGTTTCGGAAAGTGCGAAGGTGGAGCAAAAAGGCAAATAGTGCACCCACTACTTAATCCTCGCTTGTTTGCTGTCTCTCTCTCCCGAATTTGCACCATTGAGCCTGCTTGCAGTGGAACTCTTTCATGTTGCCCATTGCGGTTTTTGTCTCTTGCTTTAGTATAAATTTCTAAATATTAGTATTCCTGTTAAGTTTTTCTCACACTAGCTTCTATACTTAGTATTTTAGATTTAGCAAGCTCAAATGAAACATATTCTCTTATTTTTCAGAATATCCGTCGCAAGATAGTAAACCTAAGACGAGCATTCAAGGAATTAATGGTCAAGAATCACAAGCTTCCTTCCCATGTGCAACTGACGCAAGACGTAAGTAATCAAATTCCTGTAAGTTCTGAAAATCAATGTTCAAGAAACAGATCATTATACTAATGTGGATTTTCACTGTCGCGTACGCACGTAAATTGTACTCGCGCAAATTAGAGGCAATGTATGGAAGGTCGTGCGCAAACTAGTCTTCTTCGCGACCACGCAATGCTCCCCGTCCCCACGCGTGGTGCATGATATATTTTCCTCTCGAAATCACCGATACCTTCCCCCTCCCCCCTCCCCCCACCTCAAAAGTCGAATGGTTGACCCCTAAATTACGTACTAAATAAAACAAGAAAACAAAATCTCTTTGTAACTACAAATTTTTATTTGGTGTTTTCCGAATAAAAATTTATCGGTTGTATATGATTTTGTCATTTTGCCGTTTCTGTCAGTAAAGTAAAAGCGGTTAGTATATTTTTTAAGCAAGGCGGATTTCATTGTGGTTTCTGCCATTTTCTAGGAATTTGAAATTGATCCTGATCTCATCACAGAACAAAAAGCGGAGGTGGAAAATAAGGTAGAAATTTCTCTTATTATTTTTATTTTGTTACCTTAGTGAGCAGGATGATTGGAACATTGATTATTGTTGTTGTTTAAAATTTATCTTGTTTATTTCCAGATTGCGCTCGTTCGAAAAGAGATGGCTTGGGAAGCTGAGAAACACTCAATTGGATTGCGAAAACTACAGAAAAGGTAAGTGTAAATTGTAGGCCCTTGTTTATTCCGCAAGGGGTTGCCTACTCTTACGGAACTACCCTTGCACACACATCTTATCATAGAATTCTTAAAACGATAGTCCCGAAAAGTATTGAAAAGCATTGAAAAGTTGACTTGCGTACGTTTTCCTGCCGTTGGCACTCATAACAAGTTTTTCTGGGCTCAGTGTTATTGAGTTTGCTTGTTTATAAAAGTTAACGCGCTCGTAACTGTCATTATGATTCGATGCAAATTTTCTTCCTTTTCATTGGCCGAGAGCCCACCACGTGAACTGCCTACAAGTAATGGTCTGCTCATGCGCAATGTCGTCCAACTGTGCCTGGCTGCAAATAATATTCTGTCCATGCGTAAATGAAACCACGCTTTTCTCCTTCTTGCGATCGCTCCTGCGTGGAATCCAAAAACAACTCGATGACTGAATGATAAAACAATTATATTTTCCCACGCTTGACACAGTTTCCCGTTTCCCTGCAGTTGGAACCAGATTCAAGGGTTGCATCGTACAGCTCTAAGCCTCTCTAGGTTTCAAAAATGCAAACGCTCGCACAGTTTGTGTGGGTTCCCCGAGTTCAAACCCAGTCTGCAGGCTCCAGATTGTCCGCTGTACCAATGATGTTTATTCCGACAGTTTCCTTAATAAGTGTTACTGTACTGACCAGCAACGCGGAAGATGATGCGTCTGACTTAGAAGTTTCATTTCTATTCTCACGCAAATCTCAAAGTACCAAAGTATTTTATAAGAAGGAAGGACAGCCGTGGTCAGGAAACAATCTTCTTTATCTCTCGACAGATTCAAAGATGAAATCGAGTGTGACCGCATCGTTTTGCGCGCCTTTCTCACTCCTCATCTGGTCGCCACTTTCCGAGCGTCAAAACCAGATTATCTTCACCAGTTACTACAGGAAGCGGAAGGGAATGGAGAAGGCCCTGACGGGGGAGGACTGGGGAGAAAAAGCTTTTCAAGTGGCACTAAAATCTCAGCTCAGGTAGGGAGGACGTCAAACTCGTTTGCAGGCTCCTCTCATCTTCCTGTTTCTTGTAGCTTCATAACCTTCTTCGTGGATGTTACGCAAAATTTGAATTTGTTCGTAGTTTTCATTTTAGAGGGAAACCCGCCACCGTAGATCGATTTGTTATTCCGAATTAAGTGAAACTGTGAAGTTTTGAGAATTCGTCGCGAACGAATGAAAACGGGGCCAAGAACATACGGTATCTTACAAGGAACTGTTTTGTATGGTGGAAAATCGTCAAAGTTGGAATTTCCTCCCTTAGAGAAATAAACGGTACCACAGCTAGATACCTCTATAAAATTTTTATCTAGCTGGAGTGGATTTGCCGTTTGCTTATTGATTCCAAATCCCGACCTTATTTTTTGTCAAGTTTCACAGTAACAGAGTGAAAAAAGGATAGTCATTTTTGTTAAAACTGTTGTTTTCTGTGTAGATGAAGAGACGTCAGACTCAAGAAAAAGTAACTCTAAACCAGCAACAACAGCAACAAGCACCGACCTCGCAGGGCCAGCTGGGAAGTAAAGTGGCGAATGCATTAGCAAAAGCTGAGGCGCGAAGACAAAAGAGACTTGCCAGACAAGCCGAGGTATTTCAACGTGCCAACTATTTTGTCCAATCATAGCAACCGTAAATAGCGCAATGAATCAATCAGAATAGGCGATAACGTTATTGTACTACAAAGACCAGAATCCTTCAGGGTTTTGCTTTCTTTTGCAAATTAGGGCCTTTGTTATTTAAACCTCACCGGGATGACCAAATTTAAATACGAAAGGAAAAATGAAAAGGACTCTGGTCGTAGTAGTAAAATGACGCCATCGTGCAAATGGCCTATTCAAAGCAACATCATGCAACCGAAAGCGCGGGAAAACATGCGACTGTCCAAATGTTCGGCATTGTTATTGTTATCATCATATAGCATTTCCGCAATGTACATCATCTTCATTCTGTTTATCTTTCGTCCAATCATAGCAACCGTGAATAGAGCAATGTACCAATCAGAATTCAAAGCAACATGGTGCAACCGAAAGCGCGGGAAAACATGCATTTGTCCAAATGCTAGTCGTTGTCATCAACATACACCGTCTACAATTACTGGAGCGATTAGATTTAGAGTCTGGATTTAGATTTACAACTCAACAGTAAGGATTCACTTGCAAGAGCCTATTTAAGGCTTCTGACACCTTTGTCGTTTTTTAGTTTTGAAACTGATGGCTGACAAGCGTGGAAAGCATCAACTATAATAGTGAACTCTTTTGGCTATGTCTATGACCTGTTTAAAATTTATTTGATACCTTTTAGCCGAATGAATTTCTTCAAGACTTCTCTGTTATTTTTGTTTTTTAGTGGAACGAATTATATCGGAACAAGCCTGACGAAGGTTACCAGGATCCGAAAGACGTGGCGGCAATCAAAGAAGCGCGGGAAAATATGGGGGACTACAAACTTAAAACCGCTAAGGATTACGTTGTTCCTGAAAGTCAAAGAGTAAATGCAGAAAAGAAAAGAATCCAGCTCTTGAACTTACTAGACCAGGTAAATGTTGCCTTGTGGAATTTCTTACTAATATGCTTGTGATACTCTCTGGTTTGCGCGTTGTTCTTCATGTAACGAGCGTGTTTCGAATTCTCGGAGTTTTTGGGCTAAATCGGCTGTTTCGAGGTTCCACGTGAAACTGGGCTTGTACTGTGTCAAATTGCACTTAGTCAGGACATAACTCCTAGAATATTGTTGCTACTTTCTCTAAGCCCAAAATAGTAAACATTTGAACATACTTGCAAAACATACCCAAACTCAAACCAAATGGCAGAGACGAAGCTAAACTGAAAACCGTGATTCCATTCTGCACCGCAGAAAACCAGAGTGTATAAAATAGTTCTAGTACAAACAGTTGGTCTTGGGTGGCATTGGAGTGAAATGTTTACGGAAATATCGTAATACCTCTTTTGAAACTTAATCATGTACTTCGTCTCTTCAGATTCACCAGTACAAGTTTGAATTTAACCAGTCTTTCTTAGCGCTCCGAGAAAAGAAAGTGAAGATTATTAAAGAGGTAAGGAGACATGTAGTCTCTCCCCTGTAAACTGAATTTCCTTTCCTTAACTGAAAATTGCAAACCATTGCAAAGATAAGGATAAATTCTCTAAGAACTGTGACTTTTTTTCAGATGAAAGAAACTGTTGCCCAACTTGAGGAGGTACAGCGTAAAATCGACCCGTACTCTAAAAGGACTATTCCTAAAATTCCCGAAATGATGCCCGACGAGTGCCCAGAGAGGTAGGTTTATTTAAAGAGCCTTTCAAATAAAGTCACGTCCGCCATGTTGGTTTCCAAAACAATGAAGCGTTGGCCATGTTGGTGTCCTAAGCCAGTCCCGTGGGAGTTTAACTCTTTTTTTTTGTGTAAACGCCTTCTCTTGTCATAAAAGATTTGCATAGCTGTTTGCCACGTGAATGAAAACGCTCTATTGACTAGAATGGTATCAATTCGGCGGACACATACACAAAGCAGGGTGCATGGGGCGATTGCAAAGCGCGGGAACGCTCAACCGGGCCGAGGGCGGGAAAACTTGTCATTATATCCGTCCCCCCACACCCCCCCTCCCAAAAAAGAAACAAAACAAAACAAAACCAAAACCAAACCCCAAAGACAAAAAAAATAAAAAAACAGAAAATAATGTTAAAGTGAAGGGACATATTCACCCGGAAATTAAAATTGTTCATATCTGATTCTTTCAATAACATTTATGGCATGTGCTTTTCTATTTTTGATCTCAAATGAGAGAAACAGTGAAGCATTATTACAATAATTATCTTAATTCTACCAGTCTTCTTTAAAAAAAGAAACCCTTCGAATATTTAGTCAACTTCTTTTGTGCAGTGTTTTTGATGATTGTCCCAGTCTCTTTCTTGGCATAGTTCATTGCAGTACGTGGTTGCGTGACACTGGTCACACATAAACATGCAAGGGCTTCGTCTTCCGCAGTCTGCGCATGCGAAATCTTCTTCATAATCATCACATTCTTCCTGAAGCGCAGAATGTTTACGCTTCCTGTCTGTAATTTTCTGATCGGTTTTCGCTTGCGTTTCCGCTATCTCCACCTAAAGTGATAAAGATTTTATTCACCCGCAAGTTTTTTTTAGCTAGGAAAAAGGTTAGAAACTTGAATATAGTTTTCCCTCTCTGTGGTCAACAAAGCAAGCCATTTCAGGAGTCAGTATTCAAAGCAAAGAAACACCTGTAGTATAAAATATCAGAAATGGTAACCGGTCAAGTCGCCCGAAGGTCTTCCCGCGCGAAATGCCGAGCTATATCGCCCGAAATTTTATCACGTGTACTACACAGAGAAGTAAAGATGAATCAAAAGTGTTTGTAATATATCTCGTCCTTTAAGCGATGATGGGATGAAAAAAGTGGGATGAATGTGTAACATCTCATTCTTTAAGTCATGATGAGGATAATTGTCTAAAAGGGATGATAGGATGTTGTTGAACATGTGATAAAATTCCGGGCGACATAACCCATCATTTCGGGCAACTTCTTAAAATTTCGGGCGACATGACTTTGCAGCGACTTGACCGAAAACCCCAAAATTGGTGAGTGCTCTGAAAATACTTATAAGTAAGTTATTATTGCGTATGTTTTGATTAATTGAAGTGGGTATTTAGCCAGTCAAAAGGCTGGCAAATACAATAAAAAAACGAGCGCTAAATCCTCACCTCCTGTTGTTGTTCAGAGCATTTAACAGCTTCGCGGAGTTCCTTTTCTTGATCGCGAATCAAGGCTTCGATGGTTTTTCCTGCGCTGCTACAAACGTTTTTGACAGTTTCTTGGCTCCGTTCTCTTTCTTTTTCGATCTGTTTTCTGAGGCGCTGTCTTTTCTTTTCAATCCCGGCTTTTTCCTCAGTTATCTTAGCCGCTGCGATCACGGCGGCAGTTTGTAAAACATTTACTTGGTAATCCTTAACTAGACTTGACATTTTCTCCTGGCATGAAGTCATCACATCCCTTAATTCCTCAATTCTCGCCAGCAGATCTTTCACCGGCATTTTACTATTTAGACTGAAAATGAAGTTAAAACTTGTGCTGCGAGGTTTTTTGTTCAACTCGTGCCGGAAACAAATGTTTCCGTTTGAGTTTTGTTTACGGTTGCCATGGATTACGTTTTCATTTACATTGTTGACGAAACTGCTGTCCTTTTGCGCGCGCGCACGTGTGGACTGAGTCCAGCATCACTAAAGCGTGAAGTAAAAACATAAGTTGAACGCTTTTAATTTCGAAATGTATTTTGTTGTATTGGCTGTTCTTCCTTCATTTGTTGAAAATCAGGACTTTTTTTCAAACGTCGAACGCCCTTAGATCGTGCGCACGTTAGTTAAAACATGTCCCAAGTTAATTTTTATCCTTTGAAAATTTGTCTTAGCTTTGTTTTTCCCATTTTCAGAGAATTCATGAGCTCCTTGAGAATACCTCTGACTTTTTCTCGGTAGAAAATAGAGTTTTTTCCAAGTAATGTGAGATCTTCGGATGTGTCTTCTCTTCTTTTGATCGTCATCAGAAGGTTGTAGGAATGTTTGTAATCTTTTCCGATTTTGTCCGAACATTTGCGAGAAAGATAAGATATTTCGAGTATAAAAATAAGGTACGAAAATGATAACAAACTCAAAACGCAAACGTGAATTGTTATGATAGGCTCAAAAATCCCGCACTACTTTCTCTGCCAATCAACCTTTCTGCTAATCCGAAGCGAAGAAACTTGCACACGTTTTCCCGCGCTTTTCTTCAGACCAGTATTTCCTTCGAATTCGATTGGCTCATTGGATTGGCTTTCTCTGTTCCTATTGGCCAAAGTTATTGCTTTGGTTTTACTGCACCCAATTGAAGAACTTTGCCCTCTTCACTTACAGGCGTCTTGAATATACACGTGACCAGCTGCTGGAGTTCAAGAAGCAAATAGATAATAAGGGCGGTCAAGGTCAAGGTGAAGAGCAAGGAGGAGGTTTTGGTGGAGGATTCGGTGGATTTGGTGGAGGGGGAGGGAATGAGGTGAGTTAAAATACTTAATTCTCTTTACTGCATGCCATATAGTGTTTAATCATCAAGGAAGTCTGTTCCTAACAGAGGAATTCGGAAGCTTGGCAAGTATTAGTTCAAGCTGAAGGAAAGTTCGGTCCGTGCTCATTGTCAATGATGTAGCACTGACTAAAGTAGAGTTCCTATTTTTTATCACGGTCTTAATTTTGGCACATTTTCAGTAAATAAAAATAAAAGAAGTAGAGAATAAGCGGCGAATAAAAAAGTGGTCCCTTCAGTTATGTATTTAGGATCATGAGAGTTTGCACACTTTTGTAGTATAGAATCATTCACCAGATGTTTTTAGTAAACAAACGAAAAAGGTGAAACCGAACAGACGTAAATGACACGAAGCGCCTTCTCCTTTCTACCTCAAAATCAATCTAAGGCTTACTCACGTGTCACTGCATGTTTCAGCCCTCCAAACATGTTCCTCATGGCAGTAAACCAGGCACACAGCAAAGGGACCGATCGATCTCGTCTGTCTCTGTGCATTCCTCTGGGAGACCCAAGTCCAGTTTGAGTACCTTAACGGACAAAGGAACCCCTGAGCCCGCGATAGAAGAGGTCAGCGAGGAACCGTCTGCCTTGGAACAGGAGATTGCATACGAAGAACAAATCAGGTTGGAAAACAGGAAAAAAGCCTTGTAATGAAATACGTGAAAAACGGCTTCAAATGCACAGTCTATGAGGCTAGAATTTCTTCTCTATATAAACTCAAAACTACTGTGTGGTACTGAAGTAGAATATAATAAACATTATCATAGGAAACTTAAACATCTGTACCGTTTGTCGCACTTTGGGGTTTTTTCTACGGACACGGCATTTGAAGTCACCTTTGTGAAGGAAAACTATTCTTGAACTTAAATTTGAACGAGCTCACTAGTGAGGCATATCTTGAAATGTTCTAGAATTCCATAACTTAAGGGTTCAGGATTCAATAGCGGGAAAATCAATCGTGGTTTAACTGGCCATTGCGGTTAGCAAGAACTTAGGAAGCGTTTTTTTTCTTTAATTTCGTTTTCGTGAGTAAAACGAGGAATCGCCGGGAACATTGACCTAATTTTTCCCTTCCTCTTTTCTTCAGACTGCAATATGAACAAGATGTTTTGATAGACAAGATCAACACTACACTGGAGAAGTTTGACGCTGATCTTCGGTACTTGAGGCACGAAAAAATGCATCGAGAAGTGGCCGTTAAGTGTGCTGACTTGAGGTGAGACCCGTACGATAAATGTTTGGTTAGGGCGGGCTTAGCTAGTGGGAGAGCAATAAATAATCCAATTTGATTGGCTAATCGCTGCCTACGTAGATGTCTTTTTCGCAGCTTTCATCGCGGGAAAAGCTTCCACAGGTTGCAACCGCGGGAAAGCGCGCTACTTACGCTAAGTGCAGTAGATAAGCCTATACTATTGGCTAATCGCTGCCTAAGTAGATAACTTGTACACCAGCGTCCAAAGCAGGAAAACCTGCGACAGGTTCCAAGCGCGGGAATTTCGCGCCACTTACACTTAGTGTGGGAAATGTGAAACTGATGCGAAGCGCGCGAAAAGGGGCTTTCTACTTAGCTGAGTTGAGTTTTGATTCAAAAAGCGAGGATTGTAGCCAAGGGGAAATAAAAGTTTACGCATTCTGTTAAACAAAATAAAGACGAAGTCCACTTTATGTAAATATCTTCTCGGTTTATAGATTTTTCTGTACATTTTTCTTGACAGGCAAGTTACTCTGTTTGAAGAATTTATGCTACTGAAGGAGTTCGAGAAAAGAGAAAATAGCTTCGCAAACAAAGTGAACACAAAATAAGGGCTTCGTCTTCCGCAGTCTGCGCATGCGAAATCTTCTTCATAATCATCACATTCTTCCTGAAGCGCAGAATGTTTACGCTTCCTGTCTGTAATTTTCTGATCGGTTTTCGCTTGCGTTTCCGCTATCTCCACCTAAAGTGATAAAGATTTTATTCACCCGCAAGTTTTTTCAGCTAGGAAGAAGGTTAGAAACTTGAATATAGTTTTCCCTCTCTGTGGTCAACAAAGCAAGCCATTTCAGCAGTCAGTATTCAAAGCAAAGAAACACCTGTAGTATGAAATATCAGAAATGGTAACCGGTCAAGTCGCCCGAAGGTCTTCCCGCCCAAAATGCTGAGCTATATCGCTCGAAATTTTATCACGTGTACTACACAGAGAAGTAAAGATGAATCAAAAGTGTCTGTAATATATCTCCTTCTTTAAGCGATGATGGGATGAAAAGAGTGGGATGAATGTGTAACATCTCATTCTTTAAGTGATGATGAGGATGATTGTGTAAAAGGATGATAGGATGTTGTTGAGCATGTGATAAAATTCCGGGCGACATAACCCATCATTTTGGGCAACTTCTTAAAATTTCGGGCGACATGACTTTGCAGCGACTTGACCGAAAACCCCAAAATTGGTGAGTGCTCTGAAAATACTTATAAGTAAGTTATTATTGCATATGTTTTGATTAATTGAAGTGGGTATTTAGCCAGTCAAAAAGCTAGCAAATACAATAAAAAAACGAGCGCTAAATCCTTACCTCCTGTTGTTGTTCAGCGCATTTAACGGCTCCGCGGAGTTCCTTTTCTTGATCGCGAATCAAGGCTTCGATGGTTTTTCCTGCGCTGCTACAAACGTTTTTGACAGTTTCTTGGCTCCGTTCTCTTTCTTTTTCGATCTGTTTTCTGAGGCGCTGTCTTTTCTTTTCAATCCCGGCTTTTTCTTCAGTTATCTTCGCCGCTGCGATCACGGCGGCAGTTTGTAAAACATTTACTTGGTAATCCTTAACTAGACTTGACATCTTCTCCTGGCATGAAGTCATCACATTCCTTAATTCTTCAATTCTCGCCAGCAGATCTTTCACCGGCATTTTACTATTTAGACTGAAAATGAAGTTAAAACTTGTGCTGCGAGGTTTTTTGTTCAACTCGTGCCGGAAACAAATGTTTCCGTTTGAGTTTTGTTTACTGTTGCCATGGATTACATTTTCATTTACATTGTTGACGAAATTGCTGTCCTTTTGCGCGCGCGCACGTGCGGACTGAGTCCAGCATCACTAAAGCGTGAAGTAAATACATAAAGTGAACGCTTTTAATTTCGAAATATATTTTGTTGTATTGGCTGTTCTTCCTTCATTTGTTGAAAATCAGGACTTTTTTCAAACGTCGAGCACCCTCAGATCGTGCGCACGTTAGTTAAAGCATGTCCCAAGTTAATTTTTATCCTTTGAAAATTTGTCTTATATTTGTTTTTCCCATTTTCAGAGAATTCATGAGAGAATACCTCTGACTTTTAATAGACTTTTAAATAGACTTTTAAATAGAGTTTTTTCCAAGTAATGTGAGATCTTCGGATGTGTCTTCTCTTCTTTGATCGTCATCAGAAGGTTGAACGAATGTTTGTAATCTTTTCCGGTTTTGTCCGAACATTTGCGAGAAAGAAGAGAAGATATTTCGAGTATACAAATAAGGTACGAAGATGATAACAAACGCAAAACGCAAACGTGAATTGTTATGATAGGCTCAAAAATCCCGCACTACTTTCCCTGCCAATCAACCTTTCTGCTAATCCGAAGCGAAGAAACTTGCACACGTTTTCCCGCGCTTTTCTTCAGACCAGTATTTCCTTCGAATTCGATTGGCTCATTGGATTGTCTCTCTCTGTTCCTATTGGCCAAAGAAATTGCTTTGGTTTTACTCCACCCAATTGAAGAACTTTGCCCTTTTCACTTACAGGCGTCTTGAATATACACGTGACCAGCTGCTGGAGTTCAAGAAGCAAATAGATAACAAGGGCGGTCAAGGTCAAGGTGAAGAGCAAGGAGGAGGTTTTGGTGGAGGATTCGGTGGATTTGGTGGAGGGGGAGGGAATGAGGTGAGTTAAAATATTTAATTCTCTTAACTGCATGCCATATAGTGTTTAATCATCAAGGAAGTCTGTTCCTTGCAGAGGAATTCGAGAGCTTGGCAAGTACTAGTTCAAGCTGAAGGAAAGTTCGGTCCGTGCTCATTGTCAATGATCTAGCACTGACTAAAGTAGAGTTCCTACTTTTTATCACAGTCTTAATTTTGGCACATTTTCAGTAAATAAAAATAAAAGAAGTAGAGAATAAGCGGCGAATAAAAAAGTGGTCCCTTCAGTTATGTATTTAGGAACATGAGAGTTTGCACACTTTTATAGTATAGAAGCATTCACCAGATGTTTTTAATAAACAAACAAAAAAGGTGAAACCGAACAGACGTAAATGACACGAAGCACCTTCTCCCTTCTACCTCAAAATCAGTCTAAGGCTTACTCACGTGTCACTGCATGTTTCAGCCCTCAAAACATGTTCCTCATGGCAGTAAACCAGGCACACAGCAAAGGGACCGATCGATCTCGTCTGTCTCTGTGCATTCCTCTGGGAGACCCAAGTCCAGTTTGAGTACCTTAACGGACAAAGGAACCCCTGAGCCCGCGATAGAAGAGGTCAGCGAGGAACCGTCTGCCTTGGAACAGGAGATTGCATACGAAGAACAAATCAGGTTGGAAAAGAAGAAAAAAGCCTTATAATGAAATACTAAAACGGCTTCAAATGCACGGTCTATGAGGCTGGAATTTTTTCTCTACATAGACTGTAAACTACTGTTTGGTACTGAAGTAGAATATAATAAACATTATCATAGGAAACTTAAACATCTGTACCGTTTGTCGCACTTTGGGGGTTTTTCTACGGACACGGCATTTGAAGTCACCTTCGTGAAAGGAAAACTACTCTTGAACTTAAATTTGAATAAGCACACTAATGAAGCATATCTTGAAATGTTCTAGAATTCCATAACTTAAGGGTTGAGGATTCAATAGCGGGAAAATCAATCGTGGTTTAACTGGCCATTGCTGTTAGCACGAACTTAAGAAGCGTTTTTTTTTTCTTTAATTTCGTTTTCGTGAGTAAAACGAGGAATCGTCGGGAACATTGACCCAATTTTTCCCTTCCTCTCTTCTTCAGACTGCAATATCAACAAGATGTTTTGATAGACAAGATCAACACTACACTGGAGAAGTTTGACGCTGATCTTCGGTACTTGAGGCACGAAAAAATGCATCGAGAAGTGGCCGTTAAGTGTGCTGACTTGAGGTGAGACCCGTACGATAAATGTTTGGTTAGGGCGGGCTTAGCTAGTGGGAGAGCAATAAATAATCCAATTTGATTGGCTAATCGCTGCCTACGTAGATGTCTTTTTCGCAGCTTTCATCGCGGGAAAAGCTTCCACAGGTTGCAACCGCGGGAAAGCGCGCTACTTACGCTAAGTGCAGTAGATAAGCCTATACTATTGGCTAATCGCTGCCTAAGTAGATAACTTGTACACCAGCGTCCAAAGCAGGAAAACCTGCGACAGGTTCCAAGCGCGGGAATTTCGCGCCACTTACACTTAGTGTGGGAAATGTGAAACTGATGCGAAGCGCGCGAAAAGGGGCTTTCTACTTAGCTGAGTTGAGTTTTGATTCAAAAAGCGAGGATTGTAGCCAAGGGGAAATAAAAGTTTACGCATTCTGTTAAACAAAATAAAGACGAAGTCCACTTTATGTAAATATCTTCTCGGTTTATAGATTTTTCTGTACATTTTTCTTGACAGGCAAGTTACTCTGTTTGAAGAA